ACAATGTATAAAATATAATGGTTTTACTTGATTGTCAATCATCCTTTGTCATATAATTATTTCATAGCAAAAATGAAAATCTTTATTTAAAATTTATTTTAAAATACTAGTCAAAGTAAAAGACATAATGGAAATTTTCAATATAATATCCAGGTTGTATAGTTTGACATGGCATATCTCTGAGAAAGAAACAGATCGGCTGAAGCGAAATTGGTGACAGCTGGTCCCTACAGATGGGATGTCTAATTCAGAATCCAAAAGTCAATTTTTGAACGCAATCTTGGCTGAAAATTTAAAAACCATTACGTATACGTTTTATATCAATCAGCTGTATAAAGTTTGATTGTTATATCGACTGTCCATCTACCAAAGATATTAATTTCTTTGCAACCCACTAGGATATAGATTATTAATCTACATGTTGTAGTATGCCTGGGGGGACCGGTGCTTCTAAGCGTTAAACATGATTTAAATTGGTATACAAACAACACGACGTTTTAAATGTCAACTGTCCTACAAGTAAAACAATATTATATTTTTTAAGAAATTCTGAAAAGAATTAATTGTTAAACTGATTGCTGCATGTTTAAAGACAAAGTATTTTTATTAATAAGGACACTTATCGTGTTTTTTTTAACCAAACATTTCATTAGTGAAAATATTTTGTACTCCCTATAATAGAAGATATTAATTCATTGCCAGAAGTTAGAGGTTATCCTGAAACCAGCCATACTTGTTATTACAGATTTATTCTATCTTGACAAATATTTCAAGAGTAAACGAATCTTTCTGCTAATTGTTTTTGTAATATTTTAAAATATGATGATTCAAGCAACCGTATGTACTGCAGTTGCAATTTTCCTTTATTTTGGAATGATACGCATTTGCCAAATTTCTATTAGTGTTACTAAATATGCACAGCCAGTGATACATTTAGCAGTGTAAGGCGATAAGAGGTGAACACACACGTGTTGCTGAAAGTGATATCATGTAAAGTGCTTGTTATTACAGTGTGGTGTCTGAACAAAATCTCCACACAAAGATGATTACATTTAGGATGTTAAATGCTAACTCAAAAATGCCCTTGTATAATTAAATACAGGGTGTTTTGCTAGTTTACGTGTAAAATTTGATGTAAAGGGGACGAGTTCAATTCCTGTCATATAAATAATTAGAGGGAATCAACCTCCTTTCAGTAAAAGCGTTTGTAACTCGTTATTTCTTTCAAACATATATTTTATTTTGGCTTGGACACAAAAAATCACAATCATATTTTAATATTTAACTCTTAGGTCTGAAGATATTTTGTGTACCTAAAACACTCAAATAAATTTTTATTAAGATTAAATTAATGCAAAATTTCCAATAAACGTACTTTAAAGTTGGAATGTTTTGATCAAGACAGCGAGGGAAGTCCCCTAAGGATCCAGAACCCAAAGGGAGTCTAATTTTCGTCTCAATGCTGTAAACCCCTCCCCCTCCCCCAAAATAATTGTATTTATGCATAGCGCATATGATTGCAACTTTATTGCTACTGACTTATCAATAAATAGTTGTACAGTTACTCACGTATTTAATCTACAGTTTAATTTATTTATTATTGCTCCAACCTCACATCGGTACTCTAACATGTCAAGACTTGTTTATTATTCCACACGACCCCCAATGAAATCCCTTGTAACTGCCAGGTTATCGTTGGTTTTAAACCAAAGGATTTCAGGGCAACATCCTCCCTTCGTAGCACTTTTTCACGACGGCTCAAATAAATAAGAGGCCTGGGCCTTAATATTACAACTGTTATACTATTTGTAGGCTACATTCCTGGGTCAAAACTATATAGATAGCTTAACAGTCCGAAACTGACTTTCACTTAGTTATCATTTTCTCTCTAGTTTTCATTTTATAGGTAATGATTCGCTCAATCACTTACAAATAAGGGTGGAGTCCAATAGGTCAAAAGTACAAAAATGTTTGAAGGATGTTTTAGTTTAAGTTTGCTTCACAAAGATAGGTTTATTAATTAGATTTAGAAAAAAACTAAACATTTATTTAGGTTGTTTAAGGAATTATACACTTGAAGTGACGTATTAGGTAGATTTGGGTAAGCTGTATCAGTCATCATCATCATCATCATTCTTTATTTATTTGCCTTAAGGGGTGTACATCAAATCAATACATTTCCAAAATACAAGTATATGAAAAAAACAAAGGTTGGTAAATTAGTTTTACTAATAACTAAATAAATAAATATATAAATATTAACATGCAATAAATAATTCAATAAAAAACCAATAAATATCTCATTAATAAATAGAATACCGGTAGATGAATAATAAATATCTGTACTGATAGCTGAGCTAACGTTCAAAATTAATTGTATTCAAACATGCATTAAAAGAAAGAGATCTACATTGAAATAAAAAAAAACCTTTAAGGGGGAATTGAGTCAATTATTGTATGAGTCCCAAACAAAAATTGTTTTGTATAGTATGTTATAGAATATCAAATGTTATTTTCAACATAAACCTTCGTAAGGCAATTGAAATCATTCACGATTTTTATTGATTTAATAGTGAATAATTTCTTATGAATCAGTATTTTACATGAACACTTTTGTAACCATCTCCGACTGGACTACTTCTGCTGTACAACGTCGGGTCAACAGGGAAATGTGAAAGATTCATCGCAGATTCACTCTACTAAGTGTCGTCTCCCAGAGGAGGCTGTTGGTCTCTGATAAGGGACATTCATTGTCAGCGAATTGCAACTTTACAACTGACCTCGTTAATACAATTTGGTGTGAAACCTTTATCAGTTCCATACTTTCTTTAGTAATTCACAGCGTCACTTTAATCTGTTATGCAAAGGTAATGGAATAAGTAGTATGGAATAGATTTATTAAGTGTTCTTGAATCTGAAGGTTGATGGTCCAATCTTAAGCAAGGGTGTTTCTACCAATTATTGATGATAAAATTAACAATGGTTGACGGTATATTAACATGACTGGTGTTTATATATTTTTCTTAGACAAATAAAAAATATTAATGGCATAGATAAACGTTGAAAATATAATAAAATAAAATCAACATAGCTATATCATGTTAATACTTTTATACTGCAAACATTGTAGAAACGTATTTGATACTTTATTTGATTTTAATCTTTGACGAGAAGTTAGATTCATACACTTTTATCGATGTAGATCAACATATAACTGGTGATTAATAAATACAGATCTTGCCAAACTAATGTCGCAGAATCATCAAACGATTGTTTTGGCAATATCTATCGTTGAGCTTAAATATGATTAAATCATTCTAAAGCACAACTGGAAATATAAACTAACTAACAATATCAAAACTATGTTGATGCTACAAATTTTACATATATGCGCTTTTTAAGTAGTATACATAAGAAAATACATTAGGATAATTTTTATTTGTTCATACAACAAATTATTAAAATGGAAGTGAGATTTTCTGAGAGAATTCGTGTAACAATACAAAAAAATGAATATAGAATAATGGAAAGTGTATATAAATATTTTCAGCAAGCCTTCCCTTTCCTCAAGTTGTTTTTGTTGACTCGCTGGCGCATCTCCAAACCATTTTTCACAATTCACTTTATTGCTTCTGTTTTGCTCTTAGATCGATCAGTCATACTTTATAATGATTTGATTACTGCTGTAAATAAAAGTTAGGAGTAGGGGCCTAATTATTATAAAAGTCGTTCCATAAAATCAGTTTTTGTGTGTGCTGTATCAAGATCGCATATAATCACATTAGTTCCTGATCGTTCAAATTGTTGCCATAAATAACAATGCTTAAAATTTGTATTAAATACATATCCTGACAAATACGGCACACTATATTATCACAGATCAAAGAGTAGAGTTTCCTTATGCTGTTATACTGGGTATATTCTGCGTACAACATATCGTTTACTTTCAATATCTATCGTAAAAAGCGAGAGGTTACAAGTAGTTATATTTATCTTTCTTTCCATTTTGGTGTGGGTAAACACGTTTTATAAGATACTAATACTAAGATATAAGATATAAGATACTATTTTTTTATAGCATCCAATTTTTTCAGTTTCAATATTTTTTTAATGTCTTCAAAGTTTTGCGTAGGCTATATTATAAAGTTACGATAATTTGATAATTAAAAACAATCTTTCAAACACTAATTTAACACTATTCTAAACATTATGGGTAAGTTTATACTATGGGAAAGGAACAAAACGATGAATAGTTTTTACAAGTCTAATTGAAAATAAAATTTTTGTTGTGCACATTATTCTCTTTCGGTAGAAAAACTACAGTAATAAGTAGATAATTATAGAATATATACAAAAAATGGATGATGTAAACAGACTGACCTTTTGAAATACTTGTAAATGGTTTATTGAGGCCTATTAAGGTCTATTCCCATCATTCAATGTACATGGTTTTTGGAATTACTTTTTATTTCTAGATATTATTTGCGTTAAAATGCAAATTCATATACTCTACTTTCTGCAAAGCATTATTATATGCTACATAAAGTACTTAACTAGCGTACCTTTCACACGGAGTCGTGCGCATTCTAGACATAGGCGAATGATTTGTATTGATTTTTTATTTTAAGGTTCAAAATTTATTGTAAATTATGTTATTTTCCCCATTAAACCCCCATAAAATAACGGAAAATCGGATTTTCCCAAAAATGGCCCGAACAATTTTGATAAATATTTAGTATGTTATAGTCCTTC